TGCAAAGATATTCGTTTGAGGAGGTTATGTAATGCAAAGATATTCGTTTGAAGAGGTTATGTAATGCAAAGATATTCGTTTGAAGAGGTTATGTAATGCAAAGATATTCGTTTGAGGAGGTTATGTAAAGCAAATATATTCGTTTGAGGAGGTTATGTAACGCAAAGACATTCGTTTGAGGAGGTTATGTAATGCAAATACATTCGTTTGAAGAGGTTATGTAACGCAAATACATTCGTTTTAGGAGGTTATGTAATGCAAAGACATTCGTTTTAAGAGGTTATGTAATGCAAAGATATTCGTTTGAGTTTGAGGAGGAGATTTTTACAATTCTAACATATAAATATTTGGCGAAATTCAAAACACGTGACAATTAATTAATCCAATTGTGTCGTCTCTTCAGAGTTTCACAAGGAATGAGAAAGTTGAGTCTCTTTATACAGGTGATTCGTGAAACGTTACCTTAGACGACGTGTCTGAGACAAAGAATTGTAATAAGTGTAGACAGATCATCACACCAATCATAAAAGCAATAGCTACTGGCATCCGGATGTTTCCTCGTCCCTTTTTACCCTGAAAAATATCATACGATTTACTAAGACAGTGTAGAGATGTTAGAAACAATAGCAGCGAACGTTTTACTTTACAGAGATAATTTTTGTTCAACGTTTTTTGTGTTTGTATTAATTTTGATTATAAAACCTTATTTAAACAAAATAATCTGAGATGTAGAGGCCTAATTCATTCCTTGATTGGCTGGACCCTCTACTGTTGACTGCAGTTTCGCCTATTCAAGGCTCATCAGCACAGCTTGGGTCAGCAAACCGAAGAAATACTGTTATACACCCCCTTAAACCATCAGTCATCTGGCCCTAGTTACATCTGTTTCCTTCACAAATCTTTGTTTTGTTTTGTTTTTACCTGTTTTTACACTCTTTACGGTTAGTTACGTCACGTAACTCTAGTTTTTACCTGTTTTTACACTCTTTACGGTTAGTTACGTCACGTAACTCTAGTTTTTACCTGTTTTCACATTCTCCGCAGTTAGTTATCAAGCCATTAAGTCTTAGCCTTTCACACCCGTGTTGTTCACTCACCTGTTTCACACTTCGTTTAAGTACCCAGTCAGTCAGGTAACCAGCAATAACACCGCCAAAAAATCCACCAGATTCGACGCTGCTAGTAAAAGCACTGCCTGAAAATCCACACAGATATATTTAGCTAAGTGGTTGGTAGTCGAAAAGTTAGGTTTTGTTTTATATTTTCTTAAGTGTTAATAACATTATTTAGGGATAACATTCTATTACCGCTACCGACTCTTCATATTAGAACAATTACTACCATGTTGCCATTAGATACTGTATCGCTGGCGAAAACCAATAAAAAATGTCTGAGACGTTGATGGTTGAAGTTGACATGTAATTATTGTCGAGATTCGTAAACGTTACAACTAAAGATAGTTTTAGTCTCTTACCTACGTACTGAGAGTGACCCCTGTCCTCGATGAGAAAAAGTTGACCCCAATCTACAGCACTGGTCTTGGCACAGAAGACGACCATGTAACTGAAGGAAACTAACCAAAGAAAAGGGCTGCGAAGAAGATCTACAAACGTCGCTGTTTGATTCTGTTGATCTGTACCTGTTGGCAGAAGACACGTCTTTATTGGATCATCTATATAATCCGGTTGACCAGGAACGCTTGCTGGCAAACCAGCATAATTTTCTAGCTTTTAAAAATATATTATACGAAATTTTTTCACCTCAAGATTGGAGAAGGATCCAAACTCTAGCTAGTAAAGAGTAAAAGAAACATGAGGGGGAGAATCCCCAGTCAATTATGTAAGAGAGAGAAGAAGTAGCATAGGGGAGAACCCCCAGTCAATTATGTAAGAGAGAGAAGAAGTAGCATAGGGGAGAAACCCCCTCCCCTAGAAGATAAAGTAGGGGTATGAAAAGGCAGCCTCTAAACTGGTAAAGAGTACAAGTATAAAGGGGGAGGAGATCCCCCAAGCAAGTATAAATGGGAAAGGGACCCCACCCGTTTAAAAATAGAAATAGTATAAGGTGGGATAAGTGTTATAAGGG